TCTGGATGCTACCCACTGAGGACACTTGGTATACATTGGACGAGCAGTATGGAGGAATATTGAAACGTTTTTTTTGGACTTTTATGGACCTTTCTGCCTCGGGCGCCATGGACCTCCATTATTTGAATGTCAGCAGACAGCAAGAAGCCTCCCAGATCTCCAGATGCATTTGAGATATCAAAAAAGTACTCCAGAGTGTTGTTCAGCATGGGGGTGAGTAGAAAATGAAGGCTAATCATGCTTTGGGTGTACTATTCCTTTAAGGATACTTAAGGATTTTTGACTGACAGTGGCCAGACAGGGAGGAGGTTATCCACATGAGTCGAGGGGGAAAAGTCATCAATCAGTCAGAACAGTCATCTTGAGCTGAACTCTTGTCATGGTTTCTGGAGTTTTTTATTTCAGAGCGCTTCATAGCAGCTATTTTCATCTGTTGTAGTGATGTGTTTTATGTGTTTCAGTATTTGTTCATGTAATACATAATGTTTGGATTTAAAGGTATAGTGGAGAATGTTCTTTTTTGGGGTGGATCATCAAAATAAGTGGTGCTACTAATTGTGAATCCTTCTGGCTTTATGTTTACGTAAGGCCATCCTACATGCTCTTCCCCATTTTCACTTACCCTTTGTGAGTCTAAAATAATAGAAAAACTGCAAAACTTCTTTTGGAAAGCTTTCATGAGTGATGCAAACAGCAAAGTGTGCAGAAGAAGAAATGGGCTTGTGCCGTTCCCTCTTGGGAGCAGGTACAGGGTTGCTTTTTTTTTTTAAACGTGGAGACGGCAGGTCTTTTAAAGATTTGCAAAAATCCTCCACTATACCTTTAATCAATACCATTGAGCATTGTTTGTTTGAGAGAGTAGCAGCCGGATGGATGTTTGAGTTCAACAATGTGCAGGATGTTTGTCTAGTTTCTAATTTGTTACAGTTTTAAATAGGCAAATATATTTTTTCAGAAAACAGTTTTAGAACATTGACTCGGCATCTACAATTATATATTTTTTTGCAGTAGTGATCTTTGTTGGGAAGTAAGATGGCAAGAAAAAGGGTTGAGAAAGACTTAAAATATGAGATTGTTTAGTATATTCCTGCAGCGATTTATTTATTTATTGTTTGTTTGTTTTATCAGTATCCTCAAAAATCCATTGAAAACAAATAGTTTGCATAGAGCAAATAATCTTATTTCCTCTGTCTATGTGATTAATCCTGAAATGATAATATTTGCTGAAAGCTAATACTTTTATTAGCTCCTTGGGCTCCTTCAAGGGCTCCTTGAAACAATATTTTAGGTCAGTTATGGGACTTTATATTTCTGCACCTCTGTCATCACAATCCTTGGAAATGCATTTCCTGTCAGGATATGGCTCTTCCTCTGTATTGTAATCTAGAAGTCACTCTCCCTTTTTCTTGTCCCCACTTCTGCTACTCTAAGCTGCTTATTTTCTTTCTAAAATGATTATTAAATTCCTTAAATAATCTTTCCCATTTTATATTTATTTGAAATAAATAATAGTTAGCTATTTTTGCAGATTGATCTGAACTTTGAACAAAGAAAACACAAAATGTCTCTTCATATTTATATTTTAGAGTCAAATAAAGGTACTCAAGCTGTCTTTTTCATCATCTGACCGATGCTCTTTTCCTACACTTGTGTATTTTATCGTTGCAATATAATATATGCAGGGGGAAAAATTTGGAAAGACTCAAATCTTGGAAATAACTGGAATCTGCCTTCCAATTTAAGGGGAGTGGCCTAAATATTTTACAAGGAGTTTCCTGTAAATACTAACACAGGTTTCGTCCTTACTTAAACTATTGTAAAGAGGGTATCTATTTTAATTAGATGGATAAATAAAAAGCTGTGTTCTGATCATCAGAACACACATTGTAATTAAAAGTAACTATGTCTGCTTTGCTATTGGTGTCTTGTTTAAATGGCTCACCATCATGTTGAAATCTGGCATGTGTTGGGGTATAAATACGGTCCAGCCTCCTCGGCCTTATCTAGACCCACAGCTAGTTTGTGATTGTCCCTCTTGCATTGTGGAGTGGAATTACATAGCGCAGACCACGCTTCAAAATTGGGCATAAATCAAAAATATCTGTATCATACCTGCAATAAGCTCATGCAACACACTGCTGCAGGAGTATAACCAGCCCATAAGGCTTTGTGCTTATCAGAAAACCTCAATCAGAGCCCTAATCCACCAACCAAAAGCATTTGAAATGTTTGACCTCTGTCTCTCTACAACATAGTCTAAGAACACAGACAACCTTTTACGCTGACATTCTGTAGGTGTGCCATTGGCTCCAACTTTATTCCCAACTATGGCCAATAATCAACATGGAAAAGGTGGAGAGAAGAGAGTTCAGCTCTCACAAGGGAACAAGACCAACTCACTGGTGTAGATACATAAATGATGCTTGGGCCAAAAAAATTACAATCCAAGAAGTCAAGTCATTCTTTCAAAACGGATGAAACAAGGAACCCATGGATAAACTCATGGCACAGCAGAGGAGAGCTCCTGCCTCTCCTCTGCTGTGCCATGGTGTAGCATTTAGGGTGGGGTGCAATTTAACCACTGGAGTAGTGAAACGCATTCCAAATAAATTACACAAACAGACTAATCCGGATTCGGCAACTTATGCCAGACAATAGACGTTAATGATGGGAAGGTGATTTGTGTGCAACTGGCTTGACAAAGTGATTTGACATATGTGCCCTGGTTAGAACAATAGGCCTCCAGTGCAAATAAGGCAGCTCCCAAACTAAAGGTTACTCATCTGGAAGTCTCCTAAACTGATACAACTATGCATTTTGGATCTTCATTATAACTGAGCGTAAGCCCGGTTTCCTTCAAATAAAGTTTTTACACTAAATTAAATTGATTCTGCAGACAAGAATGGGTAGAAACCATTTACACTGCCATGTACTGTAAGTCACTCATTGCCAGTTTACATTACATATTCTTGATAACTGCTGTTGCCAGCACGATGACACAGTCAAACAGACAGCTTCAGGAACTTTTATACATAGGGCCAGGTGAGTTTGGCTGTTAATAGAGGAAATCTTTATTGAAAAACTAAATGTTGTATCTACTCAGAAAAAAATATGTGGAAAAAAAGGAGAAAATTAGTATCTTTA